TTCACTGCTGTTCTATTCATTCATTGACATATCACAGTAATACATTGTACAATATGATCTTGGGAACCGTATGTGGATTGCAGTACAGAAAAGCACCAACCTATCATAAACGACATTGAATCATAAATCAATCACATCCAGGCATGCAAAATTCCACGTTCCTACTATGCGAATGGTTCCTGTTTCTTGTGAGTGTTGAAGCCCCACGCCTAGGTCGAGTGATGATGCTCGACCTGGTCTTCCGGCACCGTGACATTACACGATGACTCCTGTCTGTTGGCACCGACGTTATCGAACGGGCTGACTTCAGTCCCCTGGTAATCCATCATAATCTGTAGCCACGGGGGTACTAGCAACTCGAGGTTTCGCACAGGGGCAGGGGCAGATGGTTGTTGATGCAAGCTGTGGCGGTGGAAGTCCGTCTTGGACAATGCTGCGGAAACAGGCGCCAATGGATCCCAGGGAGGCATTAGCATTGGAGACTTAGTCGGGAGCGCCAGGCTGGCTTCCTCGACATGCTGCACATGAGGGAATCTCGGAAAGCTCGGTGGCGCAGTTTCTAGTATAGAAGAGAGCCCGAGTGCATCGGACGAGGGTATAGGGTCCGGTGCATCAAAAGAGGGACCTGGAGGGTACAGCTCTTTTGAGTGGTATGCCCAGAAGGGCATAACGCCGCTTGTGCTCGGCTGCTGAGGCTGTTCAGCCTCGCCTCCAAAGGGCCACCCTGCCGCCTGCGATGCAGGAATAGACGGATGTAAGGAACCGTCGGTCTCGGAACCGATCAGGGGCCAGGTCCAACCCCAGAAAGATGCGGGCAATGTCTCCCACGAGCGTGGTTCCATAGCCCACGGCATCCAGTGCCATGGATCTGCCGTAGGATCCCCCATCGAATTGTCTGCGGGCATATACGAATCCGGGAGCGCGATTGCGCTAGATGAGGGCGCCCAGCCTACATTATCGCCAATGTCGAATGGGAGAGTGCTGTTACCATCATCTCTGATCTCATTCCCTTCCCCACGAGCAGTAACGTCTGCAGGGCACGTAATGGATGAGCCACGTTCAGCACCACCGTCTTTTGGGATGGCGACATCTGAAGCGCGGCCCATATCGGACACGCTCCATCGGTATTCCTCCATGGATGCGCTGGCGTGAGCCTCATACGTTCTTAAGGTTTCACTAGAAGGCTGGCCTGGATAAACACTGCTGACTGGCGACTTCTCTGTGCGTGGTTCGGTAGACATCATAGTACGATGGTCCACACTCTGTCGATCCGACTGAGGAACGCAAGTACTTCCGCTTCTCTGGCACGCTTCGCAGGGCCAGATGCGAGAACACTAATAGCCCGTTATGTTAGTCAAACGCGCTGTCGACCAACAGTTTACCATGAGTCCCAGTTCCCTGTGACTTCGCGCACCTTGATTTTCCGACAAAAACATCTCTCACAAGCTCGGTGCGTCTGGCCCTGTTATCTCATCATCAGCTAATTCTCACTCAGCAGACGGTGTCAGTTACACTGCATATTGAGCAGAGTGGAACATGAATATACCTTAGTAGGAAATGTGTTCAAGTAATATCGAAACGGCCGAACATAGGGAACGCAGTCGGTTCCGGTTTCATGGCACCTTTCACAGGGCCAGATGCGAGAACACTAATACGCAGTGTTAGTCTAAGACCCTGTCAACCGACATTCCATCATGGTATCAATTCTTGGATTTTGCGCACGTTTATCTTCAAACGATGACACCTCCCACAGGAATGGTCTAAGAAGCGCTGCTATCCGTTCGTCAGCTAATGCTCGATCAGCAGGCAGTGGCTGTTGTAATGTAGTAGAGAGAGTTAATTATGAAAGTACCTCAGTAGGCACGTTTAAAGACGTTCGGTGCTCCACGACAGGCTCAGTGGCACTGGTGTCCTCGTGCTGCTGACGGACCGGGGCCGCAACCGATACAAAGGCTTCCACTGCGGTCGCAGCTGCAGTCGTAACTGCACCAAGCCGTTCGCTGTTCCCCAATGCGTCTTTTGGCACCTGTGTATATAGATTTTCCGGCGGAGGCCGTGACCGCTGCTCGTCCATGAGTGAAAAATAGCTTGGTAGATCAGTGCACAGATGTAAAAAACGTTATGGCTCGTGAGAAGACTAGCACACCCCCCGAAGACCCTGGTCTGGGATTTTCTGTGTTCGCAATGAGTGGCCTGTCACCCACTTTATATAGCCCTGGTCTGAGGACAGACTCAAATCACGCAGCAGCGATATAGTATGATAGAATCACGCATGGAGAATGCTAGGCATGCCAATACACCCTCATCCTGAGTTAGGTGCAGATCTTGTTCCTCCCTAGTCAGTCTGCTGTACAGTCTGCTCGGTAGCAGCCAAGGTGATCTCCGTATGCCCAAAAAGGCAGGAAACGGTTTCCTGTTCCTGTGACGAGCGGCAAGAATCAGGGGAGCGGCGTTTCTCTCAATGGCAACATGCTGACTCCCAGGAGCACACAAACAGTTCCTGGGAGCTGGGACCGTCTTCCGGGGGGATCTGTTGCTCTTATGAACCCTGGGCTACGCCTTCCCACGTGGTCGCTGTGAACCAGTCTTCCGCAGGGGAATGAGGTGCTATTGCCTTAGACGTTCACATGGTCTCCTACCCTCCCGCTCAGGGAGTCATTGCTCATTACATAAACACTGGCCTCTCACTTCTACATGCACTATACGAGATAATGAAAATAACTATACTTGCGGTCCTCGCACCTGAGGCAATCAACATGAATACCCAAATTATATGTGATGAATATGCCGCAAAACCCATATGTGCTATTTACTGGCCTGCAGTCGCAG